AATTACAAATGCAATTGTGCCTAGTTAGCATGCAGTGCCTGTTTGATCCAAACTTTCTAGTGGATTTTCGATGACTCTGTCAGCTGCACAACCAGGCTAGTTCAAAGAGAACAAGAAGCACTTGCATCCAAATGAAATCTATATTTGGTAATTCTTAAAATATCATTTTTCTGTGGCTTTGTAGTGCATATTGCTTACTCAGATAATGTGCATGCCTTTCCTGTGAGGTACTTTTTTGAAATGTGATCTTGGGTCACTTTATGTTAAACTTACTTACTCTACACATAGGATGAGTAATGCCAGATAAAGTACTGTCATTAAAAGCATTTTTATTAAGGGGGTTGGGAAAGAAATCCTTTAAGCAGTGTTATCTAGCTTTTTGTTGAACCAGGTGGGGTATCCATATGAATAGAATCTCTTCAGACCTAGATAGACCTCAGCCACAGCACACCTGGCCTATGTTTGGAAAAGAAAGTCTCTCTTGTTTGGCTACACATTCGGCTACAAAGAGCCAAGACAACCTTAATTTATCCATTAAGAATAGAGGCCCATATTTAAGAGTCATCAGCAATAAAGGAAAATACACTGGATCATTTCAAGTGCATGCTAATCATTTAATGTAATAAATGGAGCAACTCTAATTATCTCCCGAGGAAATGATTTCACACTAAAACAATGGGAATGAAGAGGTTACTTCAGGAGCATAATACACAGTTGAAAATTACTCATGTGAATCTGGAGGAAATTTCTCTTGTATTTAAAAGAAAGAGAGCAAGTGAGAACTTGCCCCACATACTCTTAACACAGTGCCTTCTTAATTCTATGGGATAAAGTAAATGAGGTTAAAGATATTTAGTACCAGCCCTGCAGTGTTCCTGTTTTATAAAAACAAAGCTTCTACCAGGCTCAAGATCAGTGTCCATCACAACTGCTTTGAAAGCTACTCCATAATAAAAGGGTATCTGACTCAAATGCAGCAAAACAAATAAATTAGTCTATAGCCCCTTGTAGACTCACCACTTCCTATTCCTCTCCTTCCCACAAATGATCAATTTGCCACCTCCACTAGCCATTACAAAAGGAGTTTCAGTGAGATGCCTGAAACTATTTTTTAAGTGTTTCAATCTGTTGTGCTCAATGTGTATTTGTTTGTTTCATTTTAAATATAATGCTTTAAAATTTTTTCTCCTTAGGTGTGTTTTACTTTTTTTCTTACATCTCAAAATTAAGGCAATAAATGAAATAGAGGATTTGTGGAAGTATAAAAGGTTTAATGATTTCATCGGTTCCCTGGCAAAAGACAGGTTTCACCATAAGCTTTAAATGGTGTGCTAAATTCCATATTTCTGTTGCCTTGTTGTTCTGTTTCTTTTGATAGGTACACACAGTGAGCACTATCCTTTTAACAACCTAAAAAAAAATATTCACATTAAATAGAATAACTACAGTAGATGAGCATACAACCCCACCAACACTAGGTAATAATGATTTTGAAGTCTTTTAATCTTTCTTTTAAGCAGACGCAAATCTTTAAAAAAATCAGGAAAAATAGATAATATGGACTTTATATGTTGGATAATCTTTTCCCCAATTTCCTATTCTCTTGCTTTTGGAAATGAAGAATTTTCCTCATCAGAAATAACAAAGAATTAGGAAACTATATTTGCTTAAGTTCTACATATAACCTAAGACATTCTATGTACATATTTATCACTGTGAATCTAGTAAGTGTAAATAAATTCACAACTCTGTTTCTGTTTTGCTCATATTCAAAGGCACACTGAATAAAGAAATCGTTAGGTTAGGACTGGTAAACAAATTAGAGAACATAAAACAACTACACAAAATAGAAAACCCAATGCAAAAGTGATTAATTCTCTCATCAGTGTAAAAAGCCTAAGTGCAAATCATAATTCTGAGGGAGCAGATTTGCATTTACTTAAAACCGACATCTATATTTCATAAGAGGAAGTGTTTTGGCTTTCTTTTTACCTTAGGATCACTGCTCTCTGTGTACATGAAAACAACTGATATCAGATATGAAGTTAATTGGAATCAACTGCGCCCGTCTTTACAGGCGCACACCGGAATGTGTACCACTCAGGCTCGGCTTACCATAATACTCTCTACGGAATAGTTGACCACAGGATTCTCATTCACAAACAGCCAGGTTAAACAGTTAAATGCTAGCAAATCCTGCATAGCCCTGTGGGAAATTTCACTTTAATCCCGAACTTATAAGAGGACAATCAAAGCCCAAAGCCTGGTAACAAATCTGATCCTCTGTTGCAATCTGCGTCCTCATGGGAAGGAGAGAGGTGCTCTCTGTACAAGCCCGAGACGGATAAATACCTAAATGATGAGATAGATGGGGAATGCAGAAGAGGCATCTGGCCTCAGCCATTCGCTTCCAATTCCATATTACACTGTGAGAGGCAATTCTTGTGCAGCTCAGGAGCAGCCAGTCCTGATTACTAGAAGTTGAAGTGTAGCTTAAGGAATGATTAATGACAGTGTCGGGAGAAAAACAAAGCACAATGAGAGTTATCTCTAATCCACCTGCTTGCAGATGCTATAGTAAGGGAATGAAAATGGCCCCGGTGAGCCCTGATGATAAAAAAATCAAACTAGGAAGGTGCAAAGCTGTAGATATGTATTAATCTGATATATAAAAACTAGGTCTTAGCTTGAATAAAGCATTAGGCATGAATGGAACCCCATAGGTGATAGATACTGGGCCATAGTGGACTTCACATTGTCTGTATTTTTTAAATCAAACAGAACTGTTCCCTTCAGTATTGCCTTTGACATTAATAGGTTGGTATTTGAAAAGTCACAGTTCACTAGATGAGCAGGCTTGTGAGTGCAAGCTCATTAAACAAACCCCCTTTTCCTGTTGTTCTTTAAAAATATGGTGACACCACACCACCACCTTGTGGTTTCTCTGTGCATGTACATGCCACCCCCAGGGAGAGGTCTAAAATTCAATCACATTTTCTAAACATATAAATCCAGGTAGAACGTAATTATAAGATCGATGGTGTATTTTATAAGCAAGCGCATTTATGAGCAGCTTTCACCTAAGACAACACACTGCCAATAAGATCATTGGAGTTTCATAATGTGTTTTTGAATGCAATATGAGGTCTCAGCCTAGTCATTCCAATTACAACTGTTCTCATTTCAGGCCACCAGTACAACGATCAGAAGACAACAAACATTCATCTATCTGAATAAAATTAACAAAAAGTCTTTAACCTACCTGTTTACCCACAAAGAGCCACTAATTTCTGAAATTTAACATAGCAAAGTAATAACAACACTTCAAGCTTTCGTAATTTTTCAATGTGTGGAAAAGACTGTAGAAAAGTGAAATGGGTATGTGCTCTCTTCTAAAACAAAGGCTGCTTTGCTCATGTCTCCAAACTCACATCAACAAAACTGTAAGGACCTTTATAAGCTCAATCTTCGTGTTCAGACATTTTGTTGATTTGCCATGCGTTAGCCTTATGATATGGACTGAATTCCACGGATACAGCAGCATTCGTAATTCCATCTGAGATGCTTGCCCTCCTGTTAAAGGCATCATGGACAATTCCCTGGTTCGGGTGGCCTCTGGACACCAACTATGTCCTGAGTTTGGGAAAGTCAGTTCTGCTTTTGTCCAAAATGCTAAATGCCTATTGCATTCTCTCCCCTTCAATCTAACTAGCAACAAGTTAAACGTTAATTCATATTTCATGCAAGTTTTTTTTAATATTGAAAGTCTAATGAAGATTTAGTGTTCCGTTTTTTAACAAGGCTGACATTACTGTTGAAAGAAAGCAAATACATTATTTTAATTAATATCAATTCATAAGTGCTCCTGATTTATACATTAAACAAAGAGAGAAAGTGTCTTGTCACACACTACAATTGATTCTGTATTCACCCATCATTTACTCAGAGCCCAGTACCCCCCTTCTTCCATGGGAAATGCATGATGGAAGCTGCCATGTAGAATTGTGTGTCTCTCACGCACAGTTAATGCCGTGCTGTGATCACCTCACCCCTTATTTCCTTATGACGAGCTTCAAGTCAGTTCTATCCAACTGTGCTTGTCTCCACCTGACATCTTCTACTAGCAAATAAGCAGCCTCTATTGTTTTAAGCTTAATGCTTTTGTGTATGGCATAGCCTTCCAATAATCACAGAGAGCCTGACAATACGTGTGTTATAAAGGCATAATGTTAGGCCAAAGGAGGTAATTAATAATAGCAGTTTAATGCAGCTGGGAACAAGAATTGCCTTACACACCAAAACATCTCCAGCCATTTAGCTAAGCACAGAAATAGCAAGATGACAAGGACCCAAACGGAGAAAAAAAAAAAAAATCCCCTGCCTTATGTATTAGGACACAGTGGGCAGCTAGGAAAATTCCAGAATTTTGGAAGCTGCTCTGATTCCATCAGACCATCATTAAATGGAATATTATTAACTAAGTTCTATGAAATTTTCTTCGTCTTCCCTTTAGTTTTCTCAATTGCAGCAAATTGTCTTCTTTTGAAGTCAAAATCATGTTTTCCTCTTGTGAAATCTCTACCCCAAAGTAGGCGATGCTCTCATTCTGCTTTCTGATGTCTTCCCAATCCCACCCCCACATGTACACACTGTCAAGTTACTTATGTCAATTTCCAAAGGGGGGAAGAAAATGGAGACACTAGGGCACATCACATTGTGTGCTTTGAATAAAAAATATTTCTTTCTGAGAGATACTGCTAATCCCTGTCCCCAGAAAGACCCCAGAGATAAAAGCAGATCCTGGAAGCTATCCTGTGGGTGGGCCAGTGGGAGGGGGCGGATCCCCAGTACTTATGTAGAAATGTTTTTAAGCCAAAGAAAAGATTTCATTTCTTCTTAATTGTTGGGCTGTGGTACAAGCCAGTAATTATTTTGTCCCCCAGCACCTCGACCAAAAAAAAAAAAAAAAAAAAAACTATGCTTAATGCTTCATGCCTGAATCACTCTGACTAATAGTGTTGGCTCCTGTTTCCGGGGAGAAAACATTCCAAGGCCCCAAGTCAGGATATTAATCCCACCTCATTTTTTAAGAGAAAAATACTTAATCATTTGCCAAGAGCAAAACAATTGGGACCATGAGAGAGCACCTGACCTGAAATACCAGCCAAATTCCTCTCCAGTCAAACCCAGTCCCTTTGGTCAATCAGTTTAAATCTAAAGGTATGTTTGTGTTTCTAGACTGTCCTGAGGCTCCACCCCCTGTAGAGGACAGGGCTTCCTCCTCCAACTTCCTGAGAGGGAGAAAGGGCATGAATGCTCTGCACACATATCTGTTGCTCTGCAGGGTCGGCTAGGATGGGGAAAGAGCTTCAGAGATCCATTTGAGAAGGAAAGCTCCACTCCAAGAGGAATGCAAGTTACATTTGTGCTCTATAAAATCGGTATCTCCCAATTTATTTACCCTGGCATGATTATTTATCTGACATTATGTTGCAGCAGTAACCCAGGAAGTTTCTTTGTAGTTGCTCTGTTACCACTCTTGTTTTGCAGTAACTCTGTAAATAACTTGTGTCACTATTCTATGTCCCATTTCCAGATGGAAGATAAGACCGTTATTTCTGCTTCAGTGCAAAATCTTAACAGCTGATATAAGAAGGTGTTCAGATTCCTATCTAAATTACATGCCAGACATTCTGCATTAACATTGATAGGTGGGTTATTTATCTACAGCCTGAATATATTTCCAGGATATCAAATGATGACTTATAAGTTATCTTCTACGATGTGATGTGCAAGCCTAGAGCAATATAAAAAAAAAAAAAAAAAAAAAAAACTTTCAAAACCACCTCTGTTGAAGATGTTAGCTTAAAAAAAAAAATTCAACATTGTTCTACTTACCTTAATTAGCACAAATCCTAGCCATATTTGTTTATAACACTGTGTTAGTGACTACATGAAACAGTTCTGAAGCTGTCTACAAGGCCACGGGGTATGCAAGGAAAACTACGCAGTCATTACTACCCAGTAGAGGGCAAACACATTGTATTTTATTGCTAATTTGGACCAAATCCCTGTAATTTGGTGTTTAAAGATTGTGCATGGGTTATGAGCATACGGTTGTTGAGTAAATGTACCATGGTATGTTTTTAGCATCTGTGAATGTTTTAATTGAATAATAGTCTCCTTCATGTATAGCTTAATGAAATGCATTGTGTATCTGGGAATTCAAACAAGGTATACTATTTGGAAAAGATATCATGAAAAATTTTGCTTGTTGTTTAGAACTCCCACACACAGCTAGAATCTGGAGGGAGGGAGGATTAAAACCAAAAATCTATATTCAGGCAGACAAATTTTTTTTTTTTCATATTATCTTCAGTCTCCCTTTGTTAAAAACGAAGCTGTATGTCTCCTCTACTCCACCCTGAGATTTTCTTTCTTCCCAAGTGGAAGGTAGTTTAGGCCAGTGTGTTGTGTTATTGCATTAGTTTATGTTTTAAGACTAAGAAGAGATATTTCTATGTTATAAATTATTTATAAACACAAGAACAAAGGGAAGCTGTCAGGGCTGCTGCTACTTTGAGAAAATAAAAAAGAAATGATAAATTTATGGAGAATACAATTTGATAAAGAGGGAGGAGATGCAACTGCTAATTATTAACATCCATCTGCAGACAGAGACTTGAGAGTAGAGAATTAGATGGATACATTTACATCTGTCTGTCACCAAAAGAAATCTCATTAATGGTATTCTATACTGTCACCAAACTCTCCCCATCCAGCTTAGAGAGCCTTGGAGACATGTGAAGATATTTTAATCAACAGTAGAGCATGGAAGAGATGTAAGAGATGTAAGAAACTTCAGAAATGGGCATTCAAAAACCATGAGTATCTCCTGCACTCCTTCCCTTCTCAAAAGCAGGAAAAAAAAAATTTTAAGTGGTATGGCCTTTATCTCTGTGTCTAGTTGATATGGGATCGTTTTGAAAACTTTTTCATTTAAGCAGCTACAAGCCACACCCCCACTGATATCAAGCACAGTGTGGAGGCAGAGGCACAATGAAGAATGTCCAATAACAATAAAAAAGTGGTTTATGATGTAAGAAATACACATTTATTTTATTTTATTTTGACACTGAGCCTACCTCTCATCTTCTGAACAATGCTTTCATAAGCAGGAGGAAACGAAAAATGAGATGTTCTTGAAAACTCAGTATCCTGAGCTGCTACCTTCCTTTCTTGAAAGGAGCAGAGGAGAAGGATAAATATACTAAGAATTTGTCAATGAAAAAGAAATGCTCTTTGCCTATATGCAGCTTGCTGATAGGTGGGGGGTGGACATGAGGGGAAAATGAGCCTTTCTTTTTTGATCATTAGTTCAAGTCTATAGACCCTTGAAAAGGGTCGCAATTTCAACTTTGCCCTTGTCATCTTATTTTCAGTAGCAAGAGCATCTATACTTGGGAGGTTTCAAATCACCTTGGAAAAATTTAGGGCACTATTTTTATCTGTCACCCTTCTACACACAAGCCTTGGGCTGATTCCCATATCTGCTATTCATAGATTTGGCCGTTTTCAGCCTGGATTTTTGATGTGTTGTCCATCATGTGATTTTTCCCAGTTGGTCTGAATTAGCCAGACAGGGTATGGGAAGAGGGTTTTTTTCCAATTCTCTTACTTTGTCACATATTTTTAAATCAGGCAGGAGGAATGAGTGGTGCGGCTCTTTTCAAAATTTTGGAGATGCTAATTTATTTATAGTTTTCTGCACTGTGGACCTTCAGTAAAGTAAGACTTTCTGACAAGATCACACAGCTGTTAGTCCTGACTTGATTTGTTTCTTCTTTAAACATTATTGTGTTATTGAAATTTTCCCAGTTAGTAAAGCTGCTTTACAAATTTCCATGAACTTATTTAAAGAATTGGAAACAAAGATTTAAGAAAATGCGGTGACTATCCATTTCTAAAATGTCTATAAATGTTTCATTTCGTATTTAGTGCTGGAAATAATGACTGTCCACAGGAAGTTATGACTAATATCAGAGGCAAAGACAAAAAAAAAAAAGAAAGAAAAAAGCTGGCCTCAACTTGTGTTCTTTCTGTATGGCCACTACCCCAAAAATGGGACAGATGGAGAGATCAATGTATATTTTGCAATTATCTAAAAAGTTGATTTTGAGCAAATTGTTTTCAAAAATTGTATAACAATCTATAAAATAGAGATGTTTTAAAAGTATTTTCCCTGGTGTTCAATTATTATTAAAGTCATTGGTTTTATCGGGGAAGTTAAATGCTGGAAATAGGCCTGCAAATCTCTATAGAGTTCTATACAATGGAAAGCTGGCCACGAATTTAATGGGGTCACATGTGGTGAATTGGAATAGATGGGGCTGTTTTTAATAGCAATTTTGTTAGAAAGGTACAAAGAGGTCAGCCAATAAATCAATCTAAAGTAAACTTTTGAGAACTGTTCATTTCTCATTTTTTCCCAAATACTTTTTGGTTATTATCTGGAATGTATGCAAGGATGTATAGAAATTCCAGAAGAATTTAAATCAACATGGTTTACCAGATGTCAGATTTAGGCTAGGGAGCTTAGGGACCAGAGTCTCAAGAAAATACTGTAGAATGGAGGGACCAGTGAAGGCACATGTGGGCTGGAGAAGTGGCTCAAAATGGAAGGTAGTGGCCGGAATGTGACCCCTGCCTTCCAAAGGAACATAGTCCCTATTCTCAAAACCTGTGAAACTTCCACAGAGGAGGAGAAAATAATTGAGACTTGGGGGAGTAGGGGGAAAAAAAATGAAAGGAACAAAAGTAGATTAGAAGAGAGCACTGAGGAGGGACGAAAGATTACTCTGTGAGGTCAGTGCCCCCAAAACATGGCAATTGAAATCAGTATCCCTTTATCTGAAAAGCAGATGTCCAGAGGCACATCTCAGGGGCTCGCTTTCACTTACATGTGTTAATTCAGATACTGAAGTTCCGATAATCCCTTCATGAGCTCAGAGACAAGCAAGAGATCCTAGTGGGAAAGAAGGGATGGTGACATGAGAAGCAGAAAACCTGCCACCACCACCATCACCTTGCTGGTGGCTTAAACAAACCATTTCATGTTTCTGGGCCTTTGTTTCTTCATTATCTGTATAAAGAATTTGGATAACAGGCTTCTTGATCTTATTACTGGGGGCTGCATTGGGTGATGAAGAAAGAAACTGAAGAAAAATCACCTGCTTTAGCTCTTAAAATTATATTTCCTATGATTTACACTAAGAATACTTTAATCTTTCGCTCTCTTGCTCTCTTTCACCACATACATACACGCATACACTTGAAAAAATAACATAACCTGGACAAAATTCTTTTTGGCATGAATTGTAACATATATTGCAGAAAAGTGAATCTTCCATTTTTTTACTTTCTCTTTTCTAGACATATAAGTTTTACCTTCAAAGATTAACAATAAAATTTTCCACTGTTTCCTCATCTAATTTTGAGAGAGCCAATCGGTTTTTCAACAACTGAACTGTAGGTATACAGAAGGCATTTAATTCTTAATATAGCAGATAGCACAGCATATGCTTGATAAAGGTACTTTAAGTCCTAAAGATGGGAATGGTATAAAGGGAAGTACACATTCTTGCAAAGAATCACTACAAATTTATGAGACTATTAAGATATTAGGATAATAAGTATGTTAAGCCTTTTATCCAAAAACTTTATTCAAAAATTACTATCATTTCAACTTTACATTTGCTTCTCAGACCACTCACTGAGCTTATCTGCTCCAAATCTCCAGCACCCATTTCTTTGCTCACACAGTTCCCTGCACCCACAGCATTCTCACTGATTCTCCTCTTTCCCACATCCAGATTCCATTCACCCCTCAGGCTCAGCTCCCACAGAAGGAAACATATCTTTAGTTTCTTCTAAGACAGTACCTATTGGCTCAGTATAAATATTAATGGCTCTCCCTTTTGCTTTCTAGTTTAGACGGTAAATTATATAGTCACTGTGCCAGTTATCAACTTATTTCTTCTCTGCTCCAAACCTTCTTTGCTCTACCTTGTAACAGTGGAGCTAGAACCTACAAAATTTCTCTTCCGCCATATGCCACAATATTATGTCTTATCAGTAGAGGGCACAGAAGGAATAAAATCAAAGGACCTTTGGTGCTTTTCTTCTTTCTCCTACCACACAGTGGTCAGTGGTATACAGGGATCTGGAATTACACACCCTCCAGAAAATCCACCACGCCCAAGCAGGTAGCTTCACTGTGCGTTTCATCAGAAACCAAGACACTGTTTCCAGCTCACCAGAGCCTCAGCAAACTTCTTCACCATCCAGGCAGCAAAACAAGAGTTCACAATCCCAGTTTCTGCTTCTTCCAAAAGAAGTATATATTTAAGGCAGTAAGCAAATACCTAACAGCCCCCACCCTGGGAAATTTGTACTGGAATTGACAAAGATAAAGAAAATTTCTAAGATATAATACTATAGTAAGACAATATTAACAAAAGAATTCCCTTTAGACTTGGGAAATATAATGTGATTTTTTAAAAAGAAATGTTGCTAATGATACAAAAATCTAAGATTCAAAATCAAAATTACCTGAACTCAATGGGAAGAAGTTTCCTAGAGTGTAGAATTACAAATACATATGCTTGTTTAGCTAGTTGATCATATATATTTTTAAACCACTGTATTATAATTTCCCTTGAGACAGGCTGGTATTTTAACTTGATAATTTGCACAGCATTTGATAAGAAAATACTTATTGGTGAAGAGACATGCCAAAGAGCACTGAAACTTGGTAACATGAGAATCTTCTAGTTTTTAATCTCATACTGTTTTTGTAAAGTGAAATTTTTACTGATAACAAGAAAGAAAGAAATGAGAATTCTAATGATGCTCTGGAGATGTGATCACAATGAAGTACCTCAGTTAAGTCAAACCCAGACCATGATAGATTGCTTTACCCCTCTGTACAGTTCCCCAACCCCTGACCTTGTCACCATCATGCTTGGCCATGTGACTTGCTTAGGACATACACAGGTAAGTAGAAGAAATGTATCAATTCCAAGACAAGCCTTTTGGAGCCAGTGTTAACTGGCCATTTCCTTTTTCCCTGTGCCATGAAACTGGCTATGTATCCACAGGGGCTGTGCCTTCAGCCTGGATCCCAAAGTGACGACAACATAGAGCAGTTGACCCACATGTTCATGCAAAAAATAAATCTGTGGTTATAAGCCATGAAAAATTTCAGGTTGTTACTGTAGCATAGCCTAATTGATTCTAACTCATTTCAGACAGCAATGGATAATTGGAATTGAGAAGACTCAAAGAAATAGGTGAACAGCTTGAATGACAGGAAGAATAGTGGCATCATAGAGATCATAGCACTTTGCCAACAACACCTTCACAACAAAAGTTCAGGCACCCTGTTCTTAATGATTTTATCCTGGCTTCTACATATTGGAGAACCCTCAATGCCTCCATAACTCTAATTAAAACATGAAATATTTTAGATTCTATATATAAACTAAATATGTGAGAGAGATATGCATTAACAAGAGAATTAAGGTTATCAAATACAAAATCCAATAGAAAATGTAAAAATGTGATGGTATATTTATACACAGAGATACCTACCTATGAAGGCAAGATAAGGTGCTTTTTATATTTTTTCATTAAATTTGTAGAGTTGTGTTAATAGGAGTTTATAATTAAGTCTAATAATGATGAGAGATCAATTATATTGAACAAAGTACTCCCTCATTTATAAAATGGCAAGACTATTAAATTCTTTGGCATATGCAAAATATTACCATAAACATGTATAAGCGTACACACAACCCTCTATTATTTGATACAAGAGAGTAGTGAGTGCTTAAACTAATCAAGTATTTCAGTCTTCGGTGGTTTGCCAATTTCTAAGGAAATGTAAAACAAACCAGATAAATACACTTAATACCAAAACTATCCTGAATACAATCCAATTTTGTAAAGATTCATATAGCACTATTATCTTGCAATGCCTCATGATCATTGCTTATTATGACTCTGCTAACAATGGAAATATGTGGAAATCATATCCTTTGAGAGCA